ATAATATATGTATACATATATATACTCTATACATATATATATATATACATATATATACACACATATACATATAGACAAATGCTTCGCTGTAAACGCATTTGCTCTGATCTTACCGACTACCGTACTAACGTCACCAAACTTACTGACCACTTTCTTAATAACGGCTATCCCCTCAAACGGCTATCCCCTCAAATCATGTATCATAAAAGCTAACACTCATACACGCACTGACCTTCTCACTTACAAACCTAAAATTAATACTGCACGCATCCCCATGGTCTTTGATTTCAATCCTAACACTCACAAACTATCTAAAATATTAAAACATGATTATGCCCTCCTTCAAAATGACACCACTATCCAGCCCCTGTTCTCGGTTCCCCCTCTCCTTGCTACTAGACAGCCACCTAACCTTAAATCCATTCTTGCACCATCTAAACTTCGTACACCCAGCACTCATAACGGTAAACTTCGTACACCCAGCACTCATAACGGTAACACCACATGTAATACAGCTCGCTGCCAGGTCTGTAGCCATATTAACACAAAAAACTCAATAATACTTAACAACACATCTGACTATAAACTGTCACCCCCACCCCCACCTCTAAATTGTGATTCTACTAATGTAATTTACCTTATATCATGCACACTTTGCAACAAAGGCCATTACATTGGTGAAACGGGTAATAAATTCCGCCTACGATTTAATAACCATAAACATTCCATCCGCAATAACACCTCTGGTTTCCCTGTAGGGGAACACTTTAACTCCCCCCACCATAATATTCACCATCTCAAAGTGACTCTCATAGCCAGTAACTTCCGCTCGACTGAACACAGACAACGAGAAGAACTGAAAAGGATTTTAAAACTCAAAGCACACACTCACGGCCTCAATAAAGACTTAAGATTCATCAGTGAATTTTCCTTCTGCCGCTAAATATTCTTCTCTTAGTTTTCGGTCACTTTTAATTCTAATTTTATTTCTATTTATTCTGGTTTTATTATTACCCAGTCAGCAGCATGCTGACTGGGTTCTGTTTCCTAGAGTTTCTTTCTTTCTTTCTGGCAACATTTTAAAAGGCTACTAGTGGCAAACTACTATACCGATTTAATTAAAACTTGGTCAGTAGGACCGGCGCCACCCCCATTTATGTGTTGTTCACAACTTGGGATCAAAAGTCACATTAGGGTAAAAAAACCAAAAATCGTATAAAAGACTACTTGTCTCACAAATAACGTAGCACAGTCTTGTCCTTGGCACATATACATTAGCATAAGGCAGAGTCTTTAGGGTGTTCAGGGATAAGGGGATAAAGGTCATTAAGGGGTAACTTTCATCTTCTTTCTGGCAACTTTTCAAAACGCTACTAGTGTTCACTGTTTGGGGTCAAATGTCACATAGGGGTCATTAGGGTAAAAAAACTTTCCAAAAAATGAATAAAAAATTTCTCCTGTCACAAATAACATAGCACAGTCTTGTCCTGGAAACATATGTATTGGCATATATTAGGGTCTTTATGGTGTTCAGCGATTTACGGTCAAAAGGTCATTCTTTCAAAAGGGTTATTCTTTTGTTCTCTCTAGTAACATTTGAAAAAACGCTAATAATGGCAAACCATTGGACCAAATTCAATTAAATTTCGTCATTAAGAACCGGCGACACTTCCTACACCTCAGTCTGGGATCAGTGGTCACATAGGGGTCATCAGGGTTAAATTTTCAAAATAGCTCAAATTTACTAGGAATGATTCTTAGGACCTTCTAAACACGAAAAAATACTCTTCAGCCCATATTTCAAAGTTCATAGGTCAAAGGTTCAAAATGCTACTAATTGAAAACAATTGAACCGAATTCAATCAAATTTGATCATTAAGAACCAGTGACACCTCCTACACCCCTGTCTGGCATCAGTGATTACATAGGGGTCATCGGGGTCAAATTTTCAAAATAGCCCAATTGAGCTCGAATTTACCAGAAATGATCCTTAGGACATTCTAAACATGAAAAACTACTCTTCACCTATAGGTAAAAAATCACAAGGGTCACTATGGTGAAATTATCAAATATTGCTAGTGACTAACGATTAGACCAATTGCATTAGACAGACTCCTACCAAACATGGGGTGTTCACAGGTTGAGGTTAAAGGTCACAGTGGTTATCTCTTAAAAATGACTGGGTTCATGTTCTATTGAACATAGTAGCTCTAGTTTTTTTTTTTTTTTTTCATAAATTTGATTTGTTGTGCTCGTCCATATTATGTT